CCATTCTGCTCTTCTCGTGCTTTCACTACCAGCTATTACTTTTTCACGTGCACTTTACAATGAACCTTCCTTAGCTACTCTGCTCTTACCCCAACTCCTTTTCTCTTGCAAGATTTCCCTTTCACACACTCTCAGCTACAGAAACTTGCTGTGACTGGATTCCAGAATTCCTCATCTGAATGCTTAGAAGCTTTGTGCTGCCAACCTATGGGATTAGAGAGACATCTGTTAAAAATAAGGCTTCTTTGGCATTTAAAGTTTTCAAGCAACTAATGCCCACAACATTACTGTAACATAAACACATACTGTCCCCCTTTATAGACAGAGAGAAAGAGAGAGGTTTATGTGATTTATCTGAGACATAAAACCATCCAAGTAAAATGCTAGGAATTCCTAAATTCTTGATTCCCAAATTATCACATAAAAAGTGTATATAATCCAGTTAAAGCAACACAGTAATGAGGCAAAAAGCAAGTTTCACTGAACAGCCCTGCCAGTGGAACCCTGTCCTAACCTGATTGTGCCTTCCCTCTCATCTCAGATCTCCAGGGAATGCAGGCTGCCAAATACCACTCTAATAGATGAGATTTCTCCCCATGTAGCAGGACGTCTAAATAGAAAAACTAACAGGATATTTTCACTTTGACTTTTAAACCAGCTTTGCCCCCAGGCCTCCTACGATTTAAAGTTAAAATGTTCAGACTCCCAGGTGGTCACGCATTACATTCTGAAACTGTTTTTTTCTGTGCTCCAGACACACCACACATAGGCCATTAGAGGACTTAAAGACCTGCTTATGAATTGTGTCTAGCCTCCCATAGAATTTAGAAGACCAAGATGCCACTTTACACCTTGAACTTTCCCACCATTTATGCTCTTTTCACTCTTAGGATAATTATACCATCAAACAACCCAGGCAGATGAGCCTGACCAGCAAAAACCACATCTTCATCAAGTCCTTCAGAAACTGTGTCAGCATAGCTAATCTCACTGCGAACAAAGCTGAATGTGCCCTACAGTTTTCTAGGCATTGGTAGGAATTGCTCTCTATACTGGAGAAGTGTCAGGTCTGTGTTTGGTAAAAACGTCACCACTCAGAGTTGAAATTTTCCTGTTCACCTTACAGACAGCATAAAGACTATGCGGTCTGTTCAAGCCCAAAAGATACACTAAGGAGAAGTGGTACCTGAACTTATTTCTTCAGATTCCAACCCAGGCTTCTGACAATGGATAGATGTCTACTCTTCAACGTATTTAATTTTGAAATAGAAAATGCTTATTAAAAAAATACACACAAAACTGCAGATGGTATAATAGCAGTAGACAGCAGACAGATACACAGGGTAGACAAACCAGCTTCATAACATTCTGATGCCCCCTGATATATGCATCAATAAAAGAGTACAAAGTTGATGAAGTTTAGACATTTCGGTAACTGCACTTACTCTCTTCACTCTGAAAGAGAAGCTGAAGAGACCATTCAGTGATCTATCAGTATACAGATCTAGGATCTTCAGGTCTGAACATATTTTCATTTCTGGAAAAGAAAACAACTCATATTTTCCAGGCAAGCATTAATGCATATACAGAAGCAAACAACAGGAAGGAACAAAATGGAACGAGCAAATTTGCATTTGTGTTGTGATACCTGAGCAAAGCAAGTACGTGCTCTTCCAAAGACAATAAATAAAAAAGTTACTACTAAATGTGGTGACATCTGTAAATAATCTACAAGTCTTATGAGGATGTTCTAGGGGAAAAAGCTAACAAGCAGCAGTGTTCTGGCACACAAGTCTTCCTGCACAAAGTAGTGCAAGCCTTTCTGGCTTCTACATTTTCCCTTACAAAAGACAATCCCTTTTTGACCTTTACAGCAGCCAAAATCATCATCAAAAACCTTACTTCTGACTAAGCATGATAAATCACTGGTTAGATTGGTTGAATTACAATTAATTAAATCAATTACAACTATGACATGCAGCACTACCTGAGCTCAGCCCGAAGCTCCGTAACATTTAAAAGCTTTTGCCACAAGAATTAGTAATAAATTAATAAGCCAACAAAGAAAGCAAATAATCACAAAGTGGTAATCCGCTGCAAAGATCTTGGCTTTTTTTTGTTTGCCCTCCGGATGCCATCTGTAGATTTTGGAAGAAAACACTGCATACATCCTGCATACAACTGCACAGAAAAGCAGGCCGTGAGGAATCAAAGACGGCATGTGGATAAGTCATTCAACCTTTGCTAAACACCCAGGTCATCCCTGCACAATCCAAAAGACTGTTAGAAAGTGAATTCAACAATAATTACAATTGCTGCCTTCTATTGTTTTCTCACACTCAGGGGACCAAAGATTGAAGTCCTACTTCCAGGCACTTCAGAGATGCAATTCCAACTTCTGTGCTGGAGGTAAATGTTCTTCTTCCTTGGTAAATACACCCTATTGATCTCTCCTGACACATGAAATCAGCATTAAGTACTGCTGCAATATTTAGGCAAAACTGTTTTAAAGCATTTCATTTCAGTCACTCTTCTTTCATGATTTATTCTCTACCTACCTGCACTCGCCTGAGCCTTCTAGAATGGGCTTTCTCCTTCTGTTCTCCTCCAGCTAATGCTCCACCCCTTTGTTCTCTAAATCCCTGACCTCTCATCCTCAGGACGTGAATCAAGGTTATCAAGTCCGGTAAGAAATCAATCTCAAATTTTATGGGAAAAGCAGAAAACAACTCTTCCCTCTACTAATCCAAAGCTGTTTTTGCCTTGTCATTTAATTAAAATTGGAAATAAAATGCATTAAAAAGTTCAATCTCAGCTAAAGGAAATGGAAGCACAAATTAGTGCTTGGGTCAGTTCAGGAGCACTTCATGCCACAACTCTCAAGTGTTAATACAAATAGCAACCACAGACAAGCTGTGGTTAGGCACTGTCCTCACATAATGTCTGTACACAGATTTCCCAAACGCACTTCAGAATTACTTTCTATTCTTCTGCAGATTTTCAGAAGATGTCTGTTGGTCTGTTGTTACTACGGACATGAAAATAATATCTCAACAGTGACAAGAGCATACTGTTTTCACAATCCTATTATTTTCCATCTTTAAAAAGTAATATGCATTATTTCTCTGCAAGTAAAACTCCAGCCCTATTCTTCACTGGGTGGACTAAATGTAGGCTCCAGGTCAGTAAAAGATACAATACTGGGCAGCATCTAATGATTTACACATGTAAAAAGAACCTTTAGAGCAGTGTTTAAAAAGTAAAAAAGTAACTTCTACTTTCTCTCCAAAAGGGAAAGAAGAAAACACTGAAGATGCAAAGTAACTCTTGGAAGAATTATATACATTATATACTCTTATTCCCAGACATTCTTTCCACAGCTATTTCAGAACATTTCATTTCTGAATCCTACTGAATCAGTGATATTTGGTACGTTTCAGCAGTGAGGTTACACCTAACTGTATGTCCTTCTATTCCACTTGGGAAAAATCTGCAGAAAACATGTGAAAGCAGATGTTGAAAGTGGTCTGATGACAAGACAGTCATCTGCTCATACACTCCTCATGAAATAAGCATTTTAATGTTTTCCAATTTACAATAGTACTGGACATTTCTGGTCATTTAAATTGTTCATTTTCCCAAGCACTCCCTATTGGTGGTTTCTTGCACAAAGTCAAATCTGTTCTATAGATTTATTTCTGCTTAATTCCTCATCACATGCCATCAATACAGATATAAACTGAAAAACACCACTAAAATAGTTTATGGTAAAAAATGAACTAACTTCTGATCTATCACTGATAGTTCAGAATGGATGTTTGTAATCAACATCTGCTATTCACATGTACAAATTTTCATATGATGTCTCAAAAATCAAAAGAAAACAGCAATGAGGAACACATAGGGAAAGTAATTCGATTTTACACAGTGCCCTACATTGTCGAGCTGTCCCTGAACACTTGGCAGGACAAGCCTCCTAGATATACCACCATATAGCTACATACAGCAGCCGTTCTGCACTCTAGAAGATCTTACCTGTAAACAGAATAATTTCGTAGTGATAGGCAGAACATAAACCAAGACAGGGCAACCTTTACTCAATTAAGAAAAAATAAAGGAAAAGAAAAAAGGTCGCTTTATCTGTAGGTACAGTGCTGCATGCTTAGAATCCTAAAGTGTAACGCAAAGTATAATTAATAGGTACTTCAAAGGTAACTGTAAAAAAGGAAAAGTTCTTAGTATCTGAAGTTTATGCTGCATTTCTCATACATCTTACACCTAAACCCTGTATATTTAACAGTGCCATAGGCCAGATAGAACAATGCAGTAAAAAAATGCAGCAGATATTTTTACCATGAAAAAGCAAAGCTCAGTTCTACACAATTTATTAATCTTCTCCCACTGCACGAGGAACTATAATAAACCTTCAGGCATACACAATTCTAAAAATGGAAGCTTTCCATAAGGAAAGTCCTTCCTGTGTGATGAAACACATAACTCATCAAAAACAGGATGCAGCACACAGAGCACATGTGCATCCTTGCTTCAATTGTTATAGCGTTCATTAGCTCTTCCTAGCTGAATTACTCATACAGTTGTATTTGTTTTTCAAAAAGCAAATCTACTCTGCCCACAACTCTGTGAAGCAAGCAGAGACAACTGGGCACAAAAATGTATACAACTCAGAAAACTATGCACAGTTGCATTTTAAAGAACATGGTGAACCGCTAAGCCTATTACATAAAGATTATTGTCTGCTTGAAAAGGATTACAGTCAGGGTGGCCAGACAAGCCCAAGATATCATTTAACACAGCATTCTACACACCCAATGACTGGATTATTCCAAAATCTGGAGAGCAAAGTTGAAGCCAACTTATCTCCTATCTCATTTGACATTACATGTCATGAGCAGATCAGAACAATCCTGGAGGTCTACGATTCAGAAACAAACATGCAAGCAAGCCCTCCTCTTCACAAAGACAGACATAGAAAGGAAACATTAATTTTATAATGTCAGCATTTATTTACATGATCAAAGGTTTACATAGTTTGAAAAGTTGTCTCAACGGGAACCCAACCATTAGTGCCTCTCTTCAAAAATGGGATGACTTAAGATTTGAAGATGTGGCTTCAGAACACTTCAATGATCACGTGGAAAAAAGTACCAGGAATCAACTAAAACAAAAAATACACATCAAGAATGACATTAATTCTATACAACCAGCCTGACACAAACACTTAAAAAACAACATTCTGTCTTCAAATAATCTCCTCTCTCATAACAATACTTCTGGGCAAGTTCTATGCCTAGTCTATGTAAAGTTTGTCCTCAAAATGGTATCTGTTCACTTTAACAGTTTGCCTGAAATAATTTTGAAACAACTCTTAACATACTGACATGACCATCCTTGGAAAAAAATCAAAGATTACGTTCAGTTGTTTGTCAACGATCTGAGATGCAAAACTCCAGTAAATAAAAGCTACTTATTGGCATGCCATATAAGGGCAAATTGAATGCAACTTACTTTCCCATGACACAGACTACACAGATGTTACTTTGCAAACAATTTGGAACTTGACTCATGGCTAAGTTTCTCTTAGTGCTTCCTTCCATCTCAAAAAGTACATGTCTTGTCTGTAGCTCCTGCCAGGAGAAAAATCTCTCTCTTTTTTTTTTTTTTTTCCAATAGTTAACAAAAATGAAAATCTAGGATTTGCTTTTATTTCTCGACTAAAAACACATGTTCCATTAACAAGAAAACCAGTCAAAAGTAAGAAGAGAATTTTGTCTTTAAAAATTACACTTGAGAAGTGTGGTTGTATCACTTTTAAGAAAAGAGGTTATCTGATTAGTTAGCTACTGTGAAGAGCAACAAAAAAGTAAGGCAAAGCAACCTTTCTCCTTTGGAAAGGATAAATGTCATGCATCTATCTTCCATGATCAAAGAGATGAAAAAAATACTTAGTCTTCTCATCTTTTTATGTGAACTACACTTTCATTCACCCTTAAAAGCAATCTCCCACAAACAACTCAGAAATTGCTGCCCATGTTCTATTTAACAGAGGACAAGCATCAAAGTCTGACAAAACCATATTCGTCATGCTCTTGTGGACAAAAACACCTTTTTCAATAGGGCAGTTTCTAAGCTAATTTTTAAAGCAAATCATTAGAGCAATTATATGGTATTTGGGGAAAAGAATATACCTTCTGGGCAAACAGAATCTCCGTTCTCAGGCACTGGTGCCTAAAACAACAAAAAAACACTGTCATTTTTTTGTTTGACAGATAACACACAAAGCTATTTTACTGCTGAAGCCGAGAGGTAAAAATAAACGACAAAACAGGCAAAATAATGAGTGACAGATTAATGCCATCTCTAACATATATCTATTTTACTACATTGTCTTAGAAGGTAACAGAATTTTCCATTTACACGCTACAGAATAAAAATGCCTTTCCAATTACATTATTATACATTTGTACATTTATGAGGTACATACAAGAGGATATGTGTATATGAACACACATACAGTTTGTATTACAGGTAGGCAAACATTTTAAAATAAATATGTAATCATACTCTTACAACTACATTTTGACAGAGAAGGACAGTTCTGTGCAGAGTGACAAATTGTTTTAAAATATAGGTCTGTCACTCCAGGTTTATTTCAAAGCTGGATACACTCTTCAATCACAGTATTACGCAGCATGTCTTGTCCCACTACTTAAGGGATGAAATTAAAGCTGGTTTTAACACCAGCTGGAAGCACCTTCCTCACAATGAGGATGCTAGCCACTCTTATGGTAACAATCCTCTGTCCATCATCCCTCAGCTCCTCACAAATGGGCAAGTCTCACTGATGTAGATGAAACAGCATCTCAGCATAAGAAATACTGCAACATTCACACCCCCCCCACACAATTAGAGTACAAAACAACAGGAGGACATTGGCCACAGACACGATACAAGCTAGTTCCAAACAGACCTACACAAACACAAAACCCCAGGACTATTGACTTGTCTGAACCATGCAGCAAAGACAGCCTCAAAAGTTCAAGTTTGAAGCCTCAGGAGAACAAAGCTGCAACACATCATCTGCATTGCTAGGTGGAACTTCCTGCCATGGTAGCAGCATGCGAAGACATCAGTGAAAGACTTGCAGCATTTTGCAGGAAGGCTGACCCACAGGCAGTGCAGGTGGGCTGAGCACAGGGCAGTATTCAAACTGAGCTCACAGGCCTGGCTGTCTCTGAGCAGGAGCAGGGCTTGCTCTGCTCAACAGCAAGTCAAAGTCTCTGAGAAGGAAAGGGAAAAAGCAGCATTTTTTCTCCTGCTTTACCCAGGGTAAATATGTGCACAGAGGGGTTACGTGACAGGTATGAAAGGATGTGCTGGCCTTATCGCCAGACCACTATCTTTCCTTCCAGACAAACACAAAGCTTTTTTTGCACAAGGCAGGGAGAACCAGTGGTCACCATCTAGAAGCAGGTGCTTGCCACTTCTGCAGCAATCGCTCAGAAAGTTTAAGACAAGGACTTAGCACCTTCCCACCAAGAACAGGTCAAAAATTCATTCCACTGAACCTCTTCGCTACAGAATCCTTTCATCAGAAACACTACTTCAGGTCACCCTGCTTGAAGCAAGGGGCTTGGATTAGATGATCCCGAGCAGTCCCTTTCAGACTGAACCACTCTGTGTCATTTTGTTTAGGATGTCACCTCTCCATGCCCAACCCTCCGAGTCACAACCTGGCACTAAACTGAAAATTCTGCTTCTGAAATCCCATATGGAAAAGACTGCTCAGAGAGAAAAGAAATACAAGAAGAGAGGCAGTTGATAGGCTTTCCTGGTTAGATCTAAATTATTCCAAACATACTAGTAAATACACATATCCAAACTCTGTTGGAGGTTTTTCTAAATTGCCAGGAAAAGTCAAGTATTTTCCCCTGTAAGACATTTTTCTGCATTTTAATCAAAAGATACCTCATCCAGCAAAGCGATCTTAGTTTTCTCTCCAGCATTATAAGGGAGGAATTAAGTGATAAGTCTGAGAAACTGCACTACTAACTATATATAGATTGCCTTGGAGATTTTCCAACTTCAAAAGTCCTCAGCGGCTCCTTCTCAAAGCAAGTGAGCAAGCAGTTCTCAGGATTAATGTTAAACAAAGGTTTGGCTGTCCCGGTCATTTTTACAGATGGCAACACTTAAAAGCCTGAAATAAACAGTACATCTTAGAGCTAACACGTTCAGCTACAAAGCTCTGTTCCTCCTGGGTTTAGTTTTCAAAATGTACTAACACTGAAGCTGAGAAAAATGAAACAATTTTCAGATGTAAAGAAACAGAAGAAAGTTTCACCACCTAGAGTGTTACTACCCAAGTGGGCTTGTAGTTGCAGGGACACAGTACAATTCTGGCTGGTTCAAACATTCTCTATGTGGTCCCATATGCACAGATCATCTTCTGATCTCTTCAGAATTGACTGGACATGGCAACTTCAGCAGCTGCAGTTATTCCTAATTTGCCATCAGTACAGATGAAGTACAGATGACAGCTCCCAGTCTGTAAACTAGCTAAGCATAACAGAAATTCCCTAAATCCAAACCATTCTAGTCCCATACCTGTAAAATAATGGAAGGTCAAATATCAGCAAAATAAATCCTATCGATTTGAATAAGATGATCTTGGGAACTACTCCAGCAAAAATACATGATATTCTCATTACAGCATGATTTGGAAAGCACTTCTTAAGGACTTGTTTCATATCTTAGCTACAGTTCTCTTGCTTACAAAAAAAAACCAAAAATAAACAAAAAAACAACCAAACAAAAAAACAAACAAAAAACCAAACACCAACAAAAAAAAACCCCTGTTTTACAATAATACTGAGTGTTGAAATTTCTTTTCTTGCTTAACATTCAAAATATCTGACCTAAGGCAAATATCATCCGTTCAGAAACTCCATACTCTGACTGCAGAAGCAGGAGTGTAAGGAAGTTTCACAAAAGCCAAAATACATTTCTTATTGCAGATAAAATCTCTACCTCTGCTTTTGCTCTTATGCTTTTGTCCAGAAGTTAATAAATGGACATAAAGTAGAAAGAAAATGTATCTGCTTTCAGTTGGAAAAAAAAACCCCAAAAACACACTATCAGAAAAAACAAGCAAACAAACAAAAAACCCCAAACCAGACACAGGCGGCTTTCATTTAAAACTACCACAGCCATTAAAATTCTGCAGCCAACACTCACGTACTTTCACTTTTGTGTGAAAGACATGAGTGCCTGACAACCAAAGTGGGCAGTAGAGTGTACCAAACAAAAGGATATCTGCTTAAAATGTGCAAGTCAGTTTCCCTGCTTGCATTCTGAGCTTGACTGTACACCATTCTTACTTCAAGAGCATTTGTGCTTTTCTTAGTTACCGCAGATTGGAAATTGCATGTGGTAACAACAGCATTCAAAATAGAACTGCATCTATTTTCCCCATCTGAAAAGCAGCAAGAGATGGTAGCCTACAAAGCCAATTAAAATGCTTAGAATGAACTCTAACTGAATGATGAAGTTTGTGATAACCTCAAGAAAACAATATCACTTAAAGAAAATAATGCCAGACACAGAAGGGCAGGAAGTGATAACATTTGATAAAAAGGCAAGTGTGCAAAACAAGTAAGATGTTAGAATTTGATACAGAGGATCTGTTCTATAAATGGGACTTACTTTTGCCCCCTTCCCCCCCCAAAGAAAAAAAACAAAATGCTAAACAAAACCAAAAAAGACAAAATAAAACAGGAAAAATAATTATTTGGTGATTAACTAGTGAATTTTGCTGTTTTAGACAGATAATTATTTAGTCCCTCAATTCAAAAGTACAAATAGCACAGAACTTGAAAGAAAAGGTCTGACACCATTCAAACCAAGAGTACATCTGAACTTGAAATCTGAGTTGCATTTCAATGCCCTCGAAACATGATTTGAAAATTTCAAAACATACAAAAGGCAAATACTTTTTGACAGCTACAAGTAACACATCTTAAATGTCTGAGTTCCAAAATCAATTTTTCTTTCATTTAAAACTCAAAGTCCCATTAATCAACGAGGACCCAAACACACATACAAGTGCAAGTATGTAAAGGTATTTTCAAGGAAATGCTGAAAGCATGCGACATGAACAGGAAGAAGTTTTGACACTTCTTTGTGACTTAAACTGACTTTTCTGCACCTGATCACTTTGTTTGTTTAAGACAAAAAGGCACTGGGGACAACATTCTTAACAGAAATTGTGTTGGAATGTTACCTGCACAGAAAGTGGACATCATGTCCTTTAACATCTGAACTTCCACCACTGCTGTGACTACTTGGGCAAAATACTGACTGTGCACAGCCTGAGTCAGTTAGCTACCCAATGCACATGTTATGCATATGAGCAAAACACTTGCCATAAGCACTGATACATTCATAGCGTATGTAAAATAATAATGATTTTTTAAAAGCAATATTTGGAGGTATTTTTCTCCATTTAATTTCTGAAACTTGGTTTAAATTCCAGCATCCAAACCAACATATCTTAAAGTAGAAGAAATTCTCCTCCCCTAGCGTTTGCACATGAAAAGTATCAGACCTGCAGGACATTTTCCTCGCCTGAACAGGAAACCTGCATGTTTTAATTTTATGTTAATTTGCAAAATATGACAGGCATTCTTTACAAAACATTCAGAAAAGCAATCCCTTCTTTTACAGCAACACACTCAATTATGCAAGTAGACAAACAAAGGATCCCTTTAGCAATTAGGGACTACAGTCAGCTAGTCAATGAGCTCTAACACTGGGTGGTAACTCCTGGCAACAGGGGAGACAGAGAAGACAGCGGGCTAGATACAAATAGCAGTCCATTCTGCTATTCAGGATCAAAAGAAAAAAACAACACATCAGAACAGTAATGAACCTGCCTGAAAATACAACTGAAGCACTGCAATAGAAGCTTTCTGTTATGATGCTTACACTTACCCCACAACATCTGTGTTTCTTCTTTCAATTAATACCTTAATTTTTTATTTAATTAGGGACCACATCAGTTTAGGTATTTTATCTCAGTTTTGGAGCTTGGAGTTGTTTTTTTTGTTTGTTTGTTTTGTTTTTTTTTTCCTATTTATTACTTTTTTAAAAGGGTGAAATAAAGTAAGAACTGTCCTCACCGACTGCACAATTGATCGGGCCTCTTCCTCACTGCAACAAAAAGGGCTACCACTCACCAGAACATTTGTGCTGAAAAATAAAAATTAAAAAATGTTTTATCAATCAATGGAAAAGAAACAACACACAATTAGTACCTATGGAAAAAAAATAACAAAACATCTTCACATACAGAGCTCAGAAATGTATCGCTCATGAAATGAGGAAGCCAAAAATGCAAAGTAACAAGTAACACTGGAAGGGAATGAGAGTTTCTCCGGGTTTGGGTTTTTTTAGGCTATAAATTCTACGCTAATATAAGCAGTACTCACACTTACTTCTGGCAGCTCACTTGGGTACAGTTCAGAGGACTGCAGTTAATAAACTAAATCCCCTTGAAAAGTCAACAGAGAAACTGGCATTTCTACAGGGAGCTGAACACCACCTAGATGGCTAGCAGTGATGGCATGAATTACCCCTTGTCTCTTGTGCTTTAATGGATGGCCAAATTCTACAGCGAGCAACTCAGATATTACAGTAAATGCCTGCAGCATATAGCAAGGAGAAAGAATTAAAACAGAAAGCAGGTCAAAATTCTGCTTTTACAAAAATCAGCAGATATCAGTACTTCCATAATGCAGACACAACTTTGGGGCCAACTATTTTTCAGACAAGTTTCTCTGCAGAATATGAATATGTATCTGTTCATAGAAGAAGTGAGTTTGGTCATGAGTTTTTAGAGTCTTAAACAACAAATGGCATTAATTCTCAAAGCAAGACTGAGTTTTTGGTTATTTTTAAGCTACATCAACAAGAAGTTTGAAGTGGCCCTGAAACAACCAGGATTCAAAGTCTGAATATTTCCTGTAATATTCTTGTAGTCCTACAGCAGAACTACAACACGTGTTAAATGCTCAGTCACTCAAGAGTCACATTTTGCCAACAAAGTGAAGAGGAGTGAAGAGGACACAGCCTCCCCCATAGCCTTTGCCCTCTGGTTTAGTTAAAGGTAATCCACAGCCCTTGAAAATCACCAGTCCAGATAGCTCTCCACTATTCAAGGCCACTGGTGCCAGAAATGCCAACACAAGCCAGCTTGGAAAGCTTAATGTAGTTCGCTTTAATTTAGATGAGGCCAAAGGTTGGTAATGAGCAATGATGTGGCAGTTTAGAGAACAACTAAATAAAATTACGGAATCTGAAGCTGCAAAAGAACATCACAGCAATACAGCACTGAAAGACAGAACAAACAGTGGCAAGATCTGCATGGGATTGTGGGAACCTCCCAAAATGATCTCAAACCTTCCAGAGCCATTATTAGTAAGTTTAAATAATCTATGTCACTTTGATATAACCAAAAAATTTCTAGAACCACTTACAGCCAGTTAATCATTATCATACAAGGGGCAACTAGTCAATGATAGTCAATTATCAATCAAAACCACAGGTACTCTTGTCACTTCAAAGTAAAATCCAAGCAGTTGAGGCACAGCTGTCACATGATGAATACCAAGAGCCCTAGCACAATGCAAAGAAGAAAGATGTGGCTGGGTACTTACCATTTAACAGTACCTCCTTCTGTTTTTTTATGAAGCAAAGCTTTCCAGTATTCATGGGTTGATTTAATAATTTCAACAGCAAAATCCTAGTTTACATCAAGGAAAAATGTTATGATTTAAAAGGTTATTAAACAGAAAAAAAAAAGACATAGAACTAGTTTATTAAGACACACTGCCTCATGTGTTATTTTAAGGGACCTCCTTTGAGGCCTCATTAAATTTCTGGGAAATATAACAGCAGTTTTTATGAAAAAAACTGAGCTTCGCTATCTGTCAAACATACTGGCAACATATTCAGGACTTTTCCTCAGTCTGCAGCCAGAAAACAGGAAAGCTGCATGAAAAAACAAAGTCAGCACTAGATGTTAAACAGACACCTACAGCTACAGAAGATCATACCAGGTCCTAAATGGGACAAAGTGTGTGAGATATGACTCTTCTGTTACGTGTGCACATCAGGGTCAGAGTTAAGGTTTACTCTCCAGTGGCAAAATGTGCATTTACTTCATTAATTGCCCAACTGTACACTTAAGCATTTGCGACAAACAACATAACATTGTCAGCTGCTTAACAATTTTTGTTTGTTTAAAAACCAAAGTAATATGAGGAGGGGAGGGGGGAATTTAAAAGTCTTAGGAATTTTTTTAAAAGCCCTCAGTGTTCAGATGATGATATCTAGACCGAGTAGCAAAAATCTGCCAACAGAACACACACTTCCTAACAAGGAGTGACCTGGCAAAATGCCACTGGAACACTGTGAACTTCATCAGAGCTGTTGGAGCACAGCCATGGCTGCCTCACCACATCCTGGGTCTCTAGAAATGCTTGAGAATTATTCAAGTGCTCCAAACCAGCTATGTCAGGGCATTTAGTGCCTCGAGCCTGAACTCTGATGGCCTGACAGGGATATACCCCCATTAAACTGTTGCTACAGCAGAATTACAGAGCAGGAAAATTTGAAAGAGTAGCTCCTGGGAGAACAAGTGAGAGATCACGTTATCCATCCTTACAACTCTACATTTGATTGATTTAAAAGACAGCTTTAGTGCAGAGGGGAGTTGGAGCATCTCTTTAAACAGACAAAACACGCAAAGCTATCTGTGCTGGTTAAAAGGCATTTTACAACTTTGATAGCACACTGAAGCCTGAACTAGCTGACACATGAACATCATTCATTAGAAACCTGTGATTCTTCGCAAAAAAAAGTCTACAGAGTAGTACAGCACATGACTTGAAAAGCATTTTTACTCAGATCACATGTGATTTCCTCTGGAAAAATCTAGGCATTTTATTCAGCAAGGTCTGCTCCCAAGCCCATTCTCCTTTCAAACTCTGGCCATTTTTCCTATAGGATGTCTAAACAGCCTTTCCTTTTTTTCTAAAAAAGGTCAAAATATTTTTTAGCCTTCAAGCCAAAAACATCTCAAATGTTCACAGACAGAATTACCCAGAAAAACCTACACCTTGAGCAAATACCAAATATGAGAAAATCTGCAATCTATTGTCTACCTTGAACTACACAGCCTTGAAAAATGTCAGGAAAATTTATCAATCAAAACTGAAAAAATATCTGAAAAGATAATCTGTTCATTTCTCTGACAAACAGAATGAAAAAGCTGTGACAAGCAATACAAACCTACACACACATGTGTATGTCATATCAGGGCTGGTGCTGAATGCTTTCTACAGACTTCCTTTCATATCATATGAATTTTCTCTAAATAAAGATAGTAAACATTACTTATTCCTATTAGAATACCTTCATTTAAAAATTCTTTTTTGTTAATGGTTCTCTCTCTCTTTCCAATTCCAACAATTCTAGAATGTATCAAAGAGGTCACAGCACAGAAAGATCCATCTTTAATTTTGGATTATCTTCACCTTGTCTTTAAATTCTCCATTAAAAGCGAAGTGATTTTCTGGTTTACCATCAGGGACTTTATAACATCGGAACCAGTCAATCGTAGCTTCAAGGTAACCTGGTTTGTGCTTCCTGACATCATTAATATCTGCAGGTTAAAAAAAAAAAGAAGAAAGAAAGAATATGGACCATTTTTTTTTAACTCAGATTTTTTTTTGCATTTTTTTTTAAAGGCTCAAAGGCTTGCTAAGCAACTTGATTTAATTGAGTACTTTCAAAATTATTGGGGAACTCCACTTTATTACATTAGCTATCCATAGTTGATATTTTATGATTTTAGCACCACACTAAACAGGGAAACCAGTTACCTCCTGCTCTTCCTTAATTAAGACCCAAGGGGACAATGAATAGAAAGGCCATACCCATGAAATGAAGAAGAAAACTCCATATTTATAGGTTTTCATCTCAATAGGCACCCTCTTGCAACAATCAGATTAAAATCTGTAAGATCTTAAATCACCACCTCAAAACAAAATAGTCCTCACTCCTCAAAAGTTATATTAAAGGCATCTCTTTGCTCACTAATTCTAAATTAAACCCATTACATACAAGAAAGTTATGTTCCAGGAGCATTAAACACAAACTCTGCTGATAACCCCACGGTATCTGCAGACAGTGATAAGCCAGATAACCTTTTACCTCTGTAGTTCTACTGTGCAAAGGTGGAAAAGGACACATAGAGCACATGTCATCTGTGGGGCACCCTTAGGAGGCAGAAATGAACACTGACTCATTGGTACAGAGAGGATAAGTACTCGCACAGCAATGCTGCTTGAGAGCTATACTGCTATGCACCTTGTGTTCATAGACACCTCCTATTTCCTTCTGCTGCACATATCCAATTTTACGTGGTTTTCCTGGGAGGCTACCACCCCTCCCGTCACTTGAAGTGAGGTGGTCTTTGCCATATGAGTATCAACTCTCTGGCAAATTAACTCTCTGACATCATGTTTAAATAGAAAAGCCCTCAGTGCAATTTTTATTCACTGCGATACAAGGATTTTGTCCTTTCTGGAAACCAAGCTTTTTTTTTTTTGCTGGTGCAGCCCTTTTCTTCGCATTTATTTCTCTCCTACAGTTACTCTGGATGGAAATGGGAACTGACTTTTTATTGCTGTGTGTTACATGCGGTTCTCCATCTATTTCATAACCTCACTCTGCCCAGTCCATCTTCTATGATGTTATCCTCCTCTGGTGTTTTGCAAGTGACTTGATCCTTACTGCCTTCCTAGCATCTCAACTTTCACCACACTGCTCGACTACTTCAGTCTCTTCTCCCATAGATACATCTCACTTAAAGACAGCTCCTGGCTTGCAGACACTGGTAGATCCTCCTCTGTCTACTCAGCCTTACTCACTGCAACAGATTTCCAGAGGTGTTCAGTCCACCAGATTACCAGCTAGTTGTGTTCTTTTTTTTTTTTTTTTATCTTCAAGTGCCTAAATGTCTAAAAGTCTAGTCTGTGAACCCAAACAAGGACATTTCTAAAGAGAACAGCACTGGACTTTTTCCAGTCCCTTAGTACAGACCTCTCAATTCTCTGCAGACTGCTGAGAGAGATGACATTTAGACTTAACTGTGAGACCAAATGTGCACGGGAACATATGCTAAGTACTCATAGGCATCTGATAGATACCCTCCCAAATTCCTCTGGATCATACATTATCGAAAGAATGAAGTACAAAACCTTGAAGAACCCAAGGTACATTTTTGCTTCTGCACACACTTAATAGAGCTACGTGTTTATGGACATAGAGTAAAACACATTTTGAACTTGGCTGCTGGCCATGTGCCTGTAGAAGATTAGGGAGTTTCACTGGCAGAATCCCAGAGAAAAAGCAAGGGCACATGAGGCTGCGCTGGAGGCAGGTCTTCTAAGCCAGAATGCACGTTTGAGCGTACAAGAACACTTTCACAGTTGTGAGACCAACAAAGAACAAATGATTTAGAAAACAGTCATCTTGTTTGGAGGCAAGATGCTTCATTCAGGCTCTAATAAAACAACAGCTCCAATTCAAACCAGACTCTAGCACACGATCCTGTTCTCTCTCTGAACAAGCGAACGTCCTTCCTCCCATCTTGACCCCTTTTGATTTTCTCCTCATGCAAGGTCTGAACTCACGTTTTCTAGTACTTACTGAAGAGACAATAGATACTGTCAAGTCTGTAAAGCAAACCAGGCTGCTGAAGCAATTTCCTAGACTCCCAGTGGTGGATGAACTCCAGGTTTCTGTCTCCGGACACTGCTTAAATTCAAGCATGCTTTCTCAGACTGCTGCTCCTTTTTTTCTGGTTCCTGTTCCAATGAACCTCTCACCTAACTCTGCCTCTCAGAGGTCATTTGCCTCCTATTCCCACAAAAATTGTTCAACAAAAGTGCTTTACTGTTTACTAAGTGCTTTACTAAGTAATTTACTAAGACATGTGAGCCCTTTCCTATATGGCATTCCTTATTTACAGGCTTTGTTTATGTTTGTTTAGAGGACCCAAATAACAGAATAGGCTTTGGAGCAAGCTTTCATTACCTCCTTAACACAAGGACATTGACCTTCATGGGCAGAATCACCTCTGTGAATTTCACTTTCTCACTACTGAAAAATACCTCGCATAGGTAAAACAAATCAGACCCATACAATGCTGTACCATCACAGAGCCCCTGAAGTATTAACTGTTGTATATTGTGTTTCTGAGAAATTAAGAGGGATAGTGGTTGCTTATATTTCCTTGGCTCCATCCAAACTACTCTCCAACTCTGCCAACCCTTCCCATGTTTTATTTATCTTTTCCTTATTATGATTGCTAGCTACAGAGCACCAAATGAACCTTAAACAGTTGACTAAAAAAAGAAAATTGTATTATAGTGGGAGCTGGTGGGCAAGCAGCAGGAGAAAATCCAACTAAAAAAAAAAAAATCAACCCTGTTGCTGTGGCATCCGCACACAGCACAGAATACAAGGCAAACTGCAGCTCTCCCATCACTCAACAGCTACCTCTTTGGTTTATTAAAAGGCACCACAGACAAGCATGAAAGGCAGCCTGTCTCCCACTTTGAAATCCAACCAGCATCTTTGGGGTACCAAGTGGAAGTAGAGACAAATATCTTCAGATAACAGAAGAGCAAGCAAAGGAAGGTAAAAAGAAATATAATAATCAGTACAGAGATTCTGTACATTAATACCTATAGAAACAAGCTGCATATCACGAGAGAGATACAAACAAATGAGAGAGAGATGTCTTCTCCACAGCAGACACTGTCCCTGATCCGCTTACCTTTCCTCTGACTTGGGTACTCCCACTGATAGCAAAGGAAGCTAAGCATGAATGGGAGCAACAAGCATGTACTTGGTCAAATGTGATTTCATCTCTGCAAGCAAGCCCTCAGTGCGGCAGAAGACAGAAAGGTCAAGCTCCTGCAGGCACATTTTCAGCACATATATCCACCAGGTACCATGGGGAGATTTCTTTATACATACAACCACAGGTCCCATTTTTCTGGGCACCAAAGTTAAGTAACAAGTATTTTTTAAAATGGCTAATCATGTTAAGGGCTGCAATTCAGCCTCAGTAAGAAAAATCTCGAGAGGCTGGCACAAACAACTGCTAGCTCTCTGTCAAAGGAGCAAGCCAATGCAAATGCAGCTCCCAGTTCTATCAGGCTTTACAAAAGGGAGTGACAAAAGCATTTGTACAAAACTACCATTTTTAGTATGACAGATGCTGCTTCTTGCAAGCAAAGCTAAAACAACACGCTAGCAGCAAGCTTTCTAAACAAGGTCTGTAGGAAGACAGGACATATGTTTTTAATAACATCTTATAAACATTCACAAGAAGCAGCAGCTACATTCCATATAAAGGCATTTGGTGTATTTTGTGCAGCATGGTGTGAGGGAGTAGGAGGGGGAGCCCTAGTACAGATAATTAATTCCTTTATATTTAATGCTTACAGAAATCCACAACAAAGGTTTTCATGGCCTCTGTTGCTGCTCTGCATATAAATACACTCATATGCAAGAGTATATAACAATATATGGGACAAAATGTGCAATATACTTGATTTTTGCCATTTTGGGTTTGATCATGTAAACTCAAAAAGCCAATCTTGAGTTGTACATTGGGAAAGAAGCATGACAATGTATCACAGTTAACTACATCACTACCAGCAAATTGCAGTACAACAAAGCTGGTAGAAATCACCAACTTTTGTTTAATATATCCGGTGATCCTTCCACCAAGCAGTAGTATATAATGGTTCCTAAAATCCTAGGCCAGTAAGTCACCTCAGAAATGGCATCCAGCATACACAATTGGCCCAATTCACCTTGGGCAGGTAAAACAACCTCTTGAAAGTCAGACCTTTCATAAGTTGCTTCAACTGTCAGTCACTTTTAAAACCTCTTTTCCAACATGAAGATACGTTCAGACCAAATTACAGCACCAAAATAGGGCTCATCCTTTCTAAGCCCAATCTTGTAAAACACATCAGATATACATGTGAATTTCAGAGCATTAAATTCAATCCAAATTATGCAATGAGCAGACAGAGGCAGCCTTTCCAGTCCAAGAATCTGCTTCTTCTCTTGGCCAGTATGCTACATTAAAAAAAAAGCCAAGTCTATTATACTGCCAAGATTTAGTGTTTCAGGGCACAGAGAGCTTTTAGGCCCTCTCCCAGATCCTTGTCTGAAGTTACTTCGTTGGTCTGTTAACAACCATCTGGCGAGCAATTGCTCGAGCAGAAAGACAACACAGTGGTTTCCAGGTATCACAAAGACAGATCTTACTGAACCAGATAAATACCTGAACACGTCTAGATATTAGACTAAATGAAGGTTTCTCATATAGGCAGCTGCATCTCATGTGCAGCCTGTATCAGGAGATTGTCCTTGCACCCATCCATATTAAGTCCTATAAAAGTGAACTGATTACCTTCCAAAACTCAGTCCAAAAAGACACTAAGTCTCTGCTCTTCCCACTGATGACACAGCTCCCACTCCAGCAGGTGTTGAGCATTGCTTATTATTCCTTTGTACTGCCACAATAAACCAGAGCTTTTTACTGCTCTGCGTGAAATAGGGAGTTCTAGGCAGGGATTCCAATTTAAAACAGTATTTATCCATAAACGCCTGCAGGACAAAATACAGTGGAGAGCTATGAATAAACAATGAGGACCGCTCAGAAGTTGGGACTGCTCAGTTTTAAGTTCTGCGAAGTCTCAGAAAAATCAATTGCACTTACGAGAACGATCACAGTCCCTGAAGGAGAATATACAGAGTACCTGGGGTGTGCTTAAAGCAGCAAGTGGAGTTAACACACTGCGTGAGCTCAGGATGGGGTTTACAAGTAATCACTCCAGAGCCTTAGAATTATCTTCTCCAAATGTTCACTGGGGGCTGTGCACATACTGAGCTGAAAGCAAATGTGATGATTCTCTGTTCAATTCTAAATGTTTAGAAAATGATGCTAAAACGACTGGACAGTCTTAGAACGCAACACTTGGCTACATCTTCCCCTAGGAGGCCACTACTGATAACATAGCAGCACGTCAATTATAGAGGGAGGTATCAGTTTTATCTAGAGCTGCTGTCCCTTTATGCAGAAATAATTAACATCTTCACGAAAGGGAAAAGAACATGTATAAAAGGATATATTGTATTGCCTACTCCAACAGATTTGCTTGTTTTTTAGAACAAAGAAGGATTGCTGTTAAACACTGCAAACTAGTCATGTTTTGTTTTTTTTTTAAATACAGGACTGTAACTCCAATCCTAAAAGGAAATCTAGATAAATATTTCTCCATGATCTGAACCTCAGAAAGGCAGCTCTTCATGAAGTTTTGCTTCCATTCTCTGATAAGAAAGCATACACATAGCAATTACAGGCAAGGGTTTGCATTTAAAAAAAGACAAACTCTTACTCCCTTGCCAAACAAACCAAAGCTAACAGCTAACACAAATCAGTCATAACCTGTACAAAAACAAATACAATACAACCAACCTTCTGTTTTAGAACAAAGCTACTTAATCCAGTGGTATAAACTCTCAGTTTTATTCCTACTACTCAGTTGAACTCTTTTAAAATTCTTTCATCCACTTTTCTGATGAAACTCCCACAGATTATTAAGGGAAAAAATAGAAAGTAAACAGAATAAAGTACAGAAATAAAATGCTAATTATTTGTCTTTGAACTACTGACAATTATATCACATCCCAATAAAAACTATAGGGAGGTTTAAATTGAAACAAACAGTAACAGCAAACTATTAATTACTATTTCCCCAAGTTGAACTTCTTAATCTGTAACTGCAAAAATAGTTAGTCATAAGAACTATGACGTAATTTATCTGCCCCATGATTTTAATCAGTATCAACCCGAGAGTTTCCTTTCCCTCATTTCCTCTTCTCCCCCTTTTCCCCACAAGTGTTCTCCACCTCAAAGCAACCTGCAACAAAACTGAGAATGAAGGGCCAGGCCAGTGATACAGTTACCTTACATCCAGAAATCAAGAAAAAGACTCAGTGGCTGAGAAACACAGTTCCTCAAAATTACTGAATACCCCTACTCCTAAAGAAAGGCCATGCTGTGCCTTGGTGAGATCTGCCAACAAAGAACAGGCTCTAATCATGAAGACTTAATGGTACATATGATTTCTGATCTTTTAACAGCCATTAACTGCCAGACAAAGCTCACATAACTCTCATGAATTTCAGAACTACTGCACTTGATGAAATGAAGTTCTGTTTATCCAGAGGAGGACTGCACATTACCTGTCCATAAAAACTTAACTCCCTCCAGCTTTAATGTATTTACATCCTCTTCTTAAAAAAAGAAACAAAATTGTACCTCTCATTTTATTCAAACTACTGCACACACATTTTACTTATTGAGTTCCATTCGGATACCAGAAGCATGGTCATAAGAAGGAAGACTACATAGGACATTTCATCCTGCAAAGCCAATCATCAGCAAGGCCAAGAGAAGGCTGCATCAAAAGTTCACTTTCCAAATTAATAGGAGAAATCTTACTGTTCATATTAGCAACAATCCACGGTAGTAATGCAGTTACAAGTCACAAAACATTGGGAATGCTTTGTCAACAAGGAAAACAGCAATGTGCTATGCAATCTGAGTGGGTGAATATGTACTACTGCAATGGAGATAAGACTAATTTTAAGAGATCTCTTTCAGAATGAATTGTTCCTGAAGACAAAAGACTTTCTGTATATCAAGTCCTCTTGAAAATCCCCATCAACCTTTCTGAAAGTTCAGTATGAAAACGTACATGCGCACTTTGAGGGAAGCATTTGAATTTAAACAGTGAAAAAAGAAAATTTTGTCTCTTGGCTGTCTGTATCCTCTTGTCCTGGGTGGTGTAAACTCAGGTACAACCATTCAAGTGGGTGATATAACTTACATTAAGAAAGGTAAAAATGCTTACCATGGATCTTCTGGGCTTCTGGGTCATCCACACCAATGGCAATTATCTTCCAATCTGTCTCTCCTTCATCAAGAAGAGCTAAAACACCCAAGACCTTCACCTGAACAACCTCACCAGAAGAGCGAACCTAGAACAGAACATAATAATAAAAATACGTGAAAAACACTTTCTGAAATTTCTCTTCCAACAAAATGGTTTAGTATCTGTTTGGCCAGCAGCTAACAACATGGTAGACCTTCAAATCCAGTATGCATCAGCCTTGTCCCACCCTTGCTGATCTTAAACTCTCAATTCTCCAGCCAATATTTATTTAAGATAACACAAGCTAGAATATTTTCTCTCCTCTATCCCACCTTCCTCATTTTTGCCCCAATCTGCAAGTTAAAAGCATCTCTCAAGCATTATCTAGCTCCTTCCTGCCCCTTAACTCCCCACTTTCTCTACTCTTGGTTTTCATCTGTCTCTTGCTGTTCCTTTCTCTAGACTCCAACATATGCACACACACAGACACACATTGTACACTCTCTTACCTAAAAATATTAGCACAACTGTTTTTTGCATTTTCCTTGGAACTTCCTTCCTATCACATAACATTCCCTTACAACTTTCTGGATCCCTTGAAATTCAGCTTCAGGTTCCCTTCCTCACGTGAAATTATGTTTGCTGAAGTCATCAGTTAAGTTTCCTCTTGCCTTAGGTAGCCAAGTGATCCCTCTTTCGAACTCTTTTGTGTTATTATCCCATCTTTGGTACCACAGCAGATTAATCCATTCTTTGCTGCCTCCAGATAAAGAGGATTTTATTTCAGTGTGCTAAGCCTTCCCTTTATACCTACTAATAGTGTTTATGTGCCTCCTTTTCATCCACCCATTCCATACCTTATAACTGCAATGGGTTCTTCTCCTCTACAGAAGGAGGGTCTATCTCTATTTCTCACGGGTTCCACCCATGAGAAAACTCAAACTTAACTCCTTTGTGGGTCTGACCTTTTAATCTTATTTGCGTGACACTGCCATATTTCCTCATCTTTTAGTGACTTAGCTTTAGCTCTAGTGCTGCTAGCTGGGGAAAAAGGAAACCCTCTCCTTCCTTCCTCAAAATCTTAACTCTCTTCTCCTTCAAAACTCTCTGCCCAGCCACAAAACTCCAAGAACTCCAATTTTCTCCTTTATCCAGCACCCAGACTTCTCCAAATATTTTCCTACTTCACAAAAAACGAACAAAAAAAAAAAATACAACAACAAAACAAACACTGCTTTCTTATCTATTATCAGACCTATCAGACATATTTTAGTCGTCCCAAGATTGACTACTATCACCTTTTCTTGCTTCCCACCTGCCACTGTCTTTGAAAAGCTGTAGCCAAAGCATGAAATTAATCTTGACGATGACAAACCTTTGAACCTATCTCACAAACATCAACAGGATCATTATCCCCACAGCATCCTGTAATTTTATCTGTATGGTTTGGATCTTCCCAGGTCTGTCAAAGGAAAAAGAATTGTGAGTTACCAACTGATCTGCAATTACTATTCATCTAACCACTAAATTACTGAGTGGTTGTAAAAACACCAATTGAAAAGTCAGCTTGCTGAGAGCAGACTTACTCAATCAGAAATGAAAAAATTAAACCAATCAACCAACCAAAACTCTGAACAACCAACTGACTCAGGACAGATAACAGCAACAAATAGATGAACTCTGTTTAAGACAGAACAGGCACTTCATTAAATAGCAGTGATTAAGACAGAAGAGGACCTACAATATATATATGTTACCAGCACTTGTGGGCTTAAACTCAGACACCCTACAATCAGATTCTTATTATATTCTTTAGATGTACCTGCACTAGCGTAAGTTCTCTTCAAAATCATCTAGACTTTGAGCTAAGTTCCTAGGTATGGTACTGTCAGCATCCAATTTTTTGAAGTATTGAATTTAGGTCTGAAATACTTCTGAGTGTTTTTGCATACACAGATGTACACATACCCAAGAAGAGCCAGCAATTGAGACTAAGGAAGGTTCACTGAGAGGTAAATTCAAACCTCTGCTTTAAAGTCTGTATGAACAAGGAATCATACCTACATTAGTATAACCTAATTACACGACCAGTACTTGCTTTGTCTCTTGGAATGAAAGCCATGATTCTACAGTTAAGTTTTTTTCTGGCAAGAATTTTAAGACAAATAAGGTTTTGCTGAAAAGGTGTTAGAAAATATTTTACTTGGTCAAGCCTCCAACTCATATTCTTGTTCTTGAGAATCTGACTGATGCTAAAAGGTACAACTGAAAAGCAAATGCTCAAGTATGTAGACAGTAGCATTAAAAAAAAAAAAAAAAAAAATCACTTAAGCGGAACAAGGAGAGAATTTCAATTTAAAACTTATTTTTCCAGTACTCTTCAAAAGCACTTTTTCTTTTAAGACCTCATTATATCAATGCCATTCTCCAGCTGTATTTCTTCACCTGCAGTTCCCATAAAAACAGAAGAACAGATCAGGAATGGTAGCGTTCTCTGGACAGTAAAGCAACTCCTGCAATAATGATAATCCTAATGACATTTTCCTTCTTTGTTCCAGGGTGTAAAACAGCACTCACAAATACATATCTCTCTTTGTACATGACATTGAAACGTTTGGTAACTGCTGACACTGATGAAAAGTTCTCTTAAGATAAACAGAACTGGGTCAGGCTCTGAGTTTGTGACAGTTGCTACTGAGAATCTGGAGTATAATCTAGACTTCGACAATTGCATGTGTAAGGATCCAAATGACCTTTTAAAGTCATTAAGAAAAGAAAAACTATAATCATCTCCAGCCCTGTTACTGACAAGGTAGTAAGGGGAACTAAATGCATTTCCTCGGGTCTGTTTTTATCAGTCCAGCAAAATGTACATCCTTCAGGAGATTATTCAGATGTTTAATTTTAGTTTTGTACTAAAGAGCAAACAAATTTCAAAATGTTAAATGGATTTTTTTTTGTCCTTCGCAATATCTAACTGGAAACTATCTACTGAGACTGCTAACTGGATAAGGACTTCATTGCTATGCTCCACTCCCTACCTAGTATCTCCTCTTCAGGGATGAAATACGTAAGCACATTTTCAGGAGTAAATTTTCAGTGCTTTAAGTGTAATAAAAAGAAACTATCTTTTCTAGCCCCATCATGTCCTTCAATACTGGCTTAACATTAAAGTGCTATTCAGAGAAATGAAAAACAGTTGTTTAAAACTTCAATTATGTCAGAAACTTCAGCCATTAGTTTCTGGTTTGTGTGTGTTCACACAAGGCTCAAACACAGTTTTGAAAGTGCCACAATCAGTAAAGTCTTCCAGTTCAGAGCAAAGTTAGCTAAGGCAGTTGAGGTTTAACCTAAAGAAAGATAAGCTATTGTGTTCCTCTTTCTTAAAAGATATTAAGAAATCCTGATTAACATTTATGCTGCAATACACGGAGATCCTAAATGAGTTGTGTTTTTGTAAAATGTCTTGCTTAAACAGGAAAGGGCTACTTGAAGAAGTATTTCTGACTTGATTTGTCAGATTTACAGTTGCCTAAGGGCCAGAGTTTATGTTCTCATAATACTCAAGAGTGAAGCTAGCAGACATCTGGCAAGCAGAGCTGTAGGGATCGGGCATATATTGTAAGGATGAGGAAGGTGCATGGGAATGCTTCATTTACTTATTTTGAATGATTAAGACTACTTCCTCAGCTGTATTATTTGAGCCATGCCTTAGCTGCTGGAACTGTGCTTAGACTTCAAGACCAGTAGATTCTCTATGGACTCACTGCCCAGAGAGGCGGTGGATGCTCCATTCCTGGAGACAGCCAAGGTCAGGCTGGAGGAGCTCTGAGCACCTGATGGAGCTGTAGGTGTCCTTCTTCATTGCAGGGGAGTTGGACCAGATGGCCTTTAAGGGTCCCTTCCAACTCAAATGATTCTATGATTCTATGAAAAAGTTTTCTTGAATGGCAAACTATGACAATTTAATTCTGTAACTACAATTCACAGATGCACACTGAAGATTCAAAACTTCTTGATCATTTAACTCCCTCTTAAAACAGCACTCATATTTACACTCACACCCAAATTCTGACCAAAATTTATGAAGACAATAAAGTCTTACATAAAAAAATTATAATTTCCAAATTATCAAAGAGAAACATCCCTCTTGCAGCTGATCTGCATTCAGGCAGTACTCAAGATTTACAAGGCAATTTACACAGAAGACAGAAAACTTTCACCATTATAACAAAAATGTTACCTGAGGGAGGGCACCATAATTCCATATATAACCCTTGTGAGGAAAGATATTTGCCACATATCGAGGCTTGCCTTTCTTTGTATCTTGTTTAATGGGATTCAACGGCTCCTCAGTGGCAATCTAAGCAGATCATGAAAGACAAAGAGAAAGAGAGAACTGTAAAACAAAAAGCAATTCATTCAGTACCCAACCATTTAGCTCCATCCTGGAGCATGTGCTTGTGGTTTGAGGAGTATTAAGAGTCTGATGGCCCCACAGTAAATCTCAAGGGTCATATTCAAAAAGTTGCTTATTAAGGTTTTAAATAATGCTGTTGAAGTATGCAGAGGAATTATTTCTAGAAGAAAAAGACATAAATTTGTAAGGACACTGTCACGGTCAATCAAATACTGAAAAGAATTTGCTCTTTATGGTACAATTTCAACAGAGATACAAATGGTGGAACAAGTTCCTCAGACAACAAGGCCTTTGACAGCAACAGGGGAATTGTTTCATCATCATCACCCCCACCCCCCAGCCACTGCTCTCCTACTGCATACACCCCTTCTCTCCATCACTTCTAAGCATACATACAGAAGCTTTTTGGTAAGGACATGTTCTGTACAGGCACCACTTGACACTTTCATGTTAGGTTTGGAACAAATTAAATTAACATTAGAAGGCATTCTTACACTTGAAGTAGCACTCCTGGAAGGACAGGACTAATTATTACAAAACAGTTTATTACTGTCATAATCCTACTACCTCAAATATAAACCCAGCAGCCTATCTACTTAATTCACTTGAACTGCCCTTTTGCCACTCCACATCACAGCAAAAATCCACACTAGCTTGACTCACCTGGATGCTGTTGTATCTGTTAAGGGCTTTGAGGTGTGCTGGTTCAGGCCGTACACACGGGCACACAGCACTTAGTTCACATCCATTTTAAAACATCCTTGTAATTTAACTAAAACACCAAAAGCAAAGTCATCCTAAGGGAATTCAAACTGTTTGGGCCACATATTTATTCCATGAATGAGCTCTCCCACACTTATTTTCACACCTGATACCACTGTTTTGATCATAACCTAACGGGAAAGATATGGAACCTGGGATTACGACAGAAGTGGAGCTCAGTTATGGTTTTTTTGATATAAACTGAGGCAAAGAAGATTAAGTGACAACAGTAGGCAGAGGGCCACTAATGTCTCATAAACAGTACTTTCGGTAAAATCAAGGGAAGGACAAGAGAAATGCAACAAATGTAGCAGTGCAATACATTCTTTCAATAGCAAGGTTTAATTTCCTACAGTCCCCCTTCCAGGCAAGTAAGCCTCAGCACAGAGACAGAGAAGGGCCAGTATTGTCACCTTACCACAGCCTGTGCTGAAGGACTTACAGGACACAACAACAAGGCAGGTCAACTCTCTGCCCTAACAAAGGAACTTCCAGGTATATTAAAATGTGTGTATTATGTCTGGTATGCTATCAAGACAGAAAACATCCAAATCCAGTACTTCTGATCTATCAGGACAACAAACCTTTCTCCCCTCAAAGTAACATACCAAGATAAGGGGAGAGAGAGCAAAAATGGAAAACTGAACTCAGATTCCACAACAAACCTTCATCTTATAATACAAGCCAATTATCCTAAGTAATCCCACTTCTAAAATAACAACTCAGGTGATAAAGACAGTTCAAATGATATTCCAGCATCAGGGAAAAAGAGAAAAGGTTCTGAACAAAGAGGCTGGGGAGGTTCGTCAGGGTTATTTTTAGTAATCAAAATAGTTCATCAGCTAACCCACACAATTTCTTGAAAGCATCTAGAAAACATTTCCAAAACTAACAAATGTTCAGAAAGATAGAAAATACCCTTGTGAGATAAGTTTTCACAAAATCTATACATGAAGCATTACTTAGCTTCTACATTGTAACAGCAGAGGAACTCACTCAGCTCTACTTTTAAAGTAACTGCAGAAGGAGATACTTTGTATGAGTGAGGCCTAATGTGGTTTTTTGACAAAAGGAAACTTCCTTCCCTAGCCACTTCATTTGTCAGGATGCGGCCTATCAAACAATAGGAAGTGAGAGGAATTCAACCCTAGAATGGTTTGAGTTGGAAGGGGCCCTTAAAGGCCATCTGGTCCAACCTCCCTGCACTGAACAGGGATACCTACAGCTCCACCACGCTCTAAGAGCCCCCCCAGCCTGACCCTGGCTGTCTCCAGGGATGGAGCACCCACCAGCACTACGGGCAACCCGTGCCAGTGCCTCAGATCCTCTGACCTGAGTGTTTTGTGAGTGAGCAGGACTAAGGCTAAGTGCTAAGACAGTGTTCTGCAGCCCAGCGCCCCAGTATCTGCTGCAGGTATGCAGTAGCCTGCAGTCAGATGGCTGTCAGGACGGAGTACCTGCAGAATGAGAACAGAATTCCAGCCTCAGAGCTTTTTCTAACCACACTGGTAATATCTGTATGCACAACTTCAAGTTAATATTTTAACAAAGAAAAAAGAATATCTATAAAGAGAAATCCACACTAATCTGCATACTGGAACCCACTGTATTGTCACTGCTTTCATAAATATACCTATATATTCAAGTATTTTTCTTAATTACCTCCATTTTTGCATTTGTCCAACGAGGCACTTCTACAACCATATTAAATAGGACCTAAAATAAAAACAATTAAAGAACTGAAAATAAAACCCACTTAGCAAGTAATATTTTTCAAATAAAAAAATTCTCTGTGTTCAGCTGCAACGTACAACAAATCTCACTATTGCAGCTGCTTTTACTTAAGTACAATTTGTTTAGCTCCTCACAATAATATTCAGCCTCCTCAGTTCATCCTTCACCCATTCACCTCTGAGAATATAAATGAATAATGGAAATACACAGTTGTTCTTGTTCCAGTACCAGTATTGCTCTTCACACAATGTTAAATAAGCCCACAGAATAGTTCACCACAAGGCAGTATTCTGTCCAGTAGTCAAAAAAGACTGAACATTTCTACATGAAAGAGTTAGCTTCTTTCAAGCACTGAAAAGGACAATGCATTCTCTCACAACCACCACGAGGATTTATTTCTTCAGGTCTTCTTTTCTGCCTTTTTTTTTTTAATTAAAAAAAATAGAAAACACCTAACAGCTACTGACATTGCTGATTGTTTGTCAAATCTATTTGAAGCGAGGCACAATGAATCCAAAAGCAATGGCAGAGAAAGGATGTAGGTACCTCACTTTAGTGTAAACTCTCTTCATTGTAGAATCAAAGTAAAAATTAACAATGGAAAAAAAAAAGAAACACCTAAGAAAAGCTATCATTGCTGTAAGGTTTCCCCTTCCAAAGCTATGAGATATAAACACCAAAGAGAACAGAGTATTAATCAACGTGGGTAACTAGACCAAACCCAGCAATGCCTGTAATTACTTTCTCCATGAGTAATAATCCCAAATATCACGTTACCTGAGATGCTTCTTCATATAAAAAGAAAAATTCTTGATTATTAAAAATGGCACCAGATCAGGAAAGGTCAAAATATGTTCTTGAAGACATTTGTAGAAAAACAATAAACCAACTGAAGAACCGTACTGACTCTCAAACTATACCATTAATAAAGCTGTGGCAGACACTTAAACATTTGGATTTTTCCTATTTGCCTGCTCCAGTTACAGCAAAAAAATAACCACTAGCAGGGGCAATGCCACAGTCTGACTAAAGTCACTCCGATGGTTTTGTGATCTTTTCCCCTCAAAACTGGAATGCAAGAAGCAAAAAGGCAGCTTTCACAGTCACCCACTGTTTTTCCCATGAGACCACAAGCTATACTCAATGCTGATGGCAAATTCCAGTAGATTTAAATGAAATTTGCCATCTCTAAGTACCATGCCCATACTGTAATCAGTGGCATTTAAGTACGTAATTATTAGGTCATAATTAAGCACATTAAACAAGTGGAAAAGGAAAAAAAAAAAAAAAAAAAAAGGAGAAAGATGCTCCAGATCACTTCCATAAAGCACATTTCACGTATATAAGCATAGCTGAAACTGAGAAATCCTCAAAGAGAGTTCAAAGACATAACACTAAGGAAGCAGATGCAGAACAAAGAAATGTACATGCAGAAACAGGTAAGGGCAAGGCTGGAAAAGAGCCAAAGTTTGCACATCCACCTCAGAAACATTTGGAAACAGAAATGCACAGCATGGAAGCCGGGTGCTGACAAGAAACTGCCAGCAAGTGAAAGAACTGTTCTGACTGGCAGTGACAGGCAGAAGGACAAACTTCCCCTGCAGTTACACACAACGTCTCGTCCTCCATGAAATGCTTGTGTTGTGAAGAACGCAACTGCCTATTTTCCTCACTGCCTCAAACACAACAACCTGTAAATGCTGCCTGGAACTTTAACTGGTCCTCACTAGAACAATTCTCAGGGCTGGACCACAGCTGGACTGAAGCTAACTACAATGCTTCTCTCAAAAGAATGACTTGGCTTTAAGACCAGACCTTCATAATTTGTGGTATCAGTCAAACATGAATCGTCAGGTCTTAAATGTGACAGCCTGACAGATTAATTCATATGCAAAAAAACAAAACAAAAACAAAAACCCAGCCCCAGAAGTACTCTCACTAATACTAAACTACCACAAGCATTTACACAAGATTAATAACTTGCACTTCATGCAGTGCTTACCTTTAAAAATAAAATTCTATTTATAGGGCAATTACATTTTCACAGTGATGAGGCAGAATTCACCGAAGCGGAAAGAGCACATATTAGACAGTTTGACAGACGGAAAGAGAGAGGTATATTCCTCCAGGTTGTGGGTTTTGTTTTGTTTTAAGGTTGCTTTTCTTTTTTCCTCTGCTTTCCTACTGCCTTGTTTCCCTGCTCGACTAAATGTCATCCAGGATTCCTTTTCCTTCACTCTTTTCCATACCAGGCATCTATTCCTTCCATCCACTCCAATGCTCTCCCTCAAGTGCTTGCTGCAGAACGCTCCTGGCCCCAGCTGCAAACAGAAACATCTCAGGTATCCCATGCCTCCACAGATTACCACCTGCATATGCCATTCAGTGGTTAGCTTTGGTTGGTCAATGTGTCTGGCAATTGATATTTTTATCTTTCATCAGTAAAACAAAAAAAATTTCACCTCAGGAAAAAGCCACATGAGCACTTCTACCCCTTCAAGCAAAGGTAAGATTGCTCCAACAGCCTATGGCACACCTTCCAATGAGAGAAAAAAAAAAACCCAGAAGCTAATTTCTCATGAAACAAAAACTACTGCTTTAGTAAGTTTAGCATTTAGTTGCCTTAACATGCCAGCAGTCAGCTGGTCTGCCTATGAGATCACTGCTTGCCAAAGTCCAGATTTTATCTAGATTCAGAAAAGGAGAGAGAACTCATAAGCTAGGGAAAGTGACCTTATAGGGTCCAGAGGGATGTTTAACCCAGGGTGTCATGGAGCTTGTTTGACTTTGGGTTAATGTGAACAGAGGACATACGTCTGTATTTCTGCTCTATTATATCTGGAGGAGAGAAAGGGAAAAAAAAATCAGCATGGAAAGGTCAAATATATATTTCCCAGTTCCTCACACTGAGTATGAAAATCATCAGAAAATTACATCAGAAAAAGAAACTCTCTAAACAGAATCCTTTATTATCTAAGGACAGTAAAACTACATCACATAGGAATTCATGTAGGATGTAAATAAGTGTTTGCATTAGCAGGGTGTTTTCTTTAACAAGGCCTGGCAACTTACTGCATCCCATTTGAATTAAATCGTTTCTAATGTAATATCGCTTCTACTTCTATTATTCAATAGACAACAAGAACAGGGAGGTTTTTTTCTTTTGTTGTTGTTGTTGTTTGCCTTTTAAGCATACATTCTTCAGAATGCTCATACAAGTGTTGTATCTAGGTAAACTGTGGGACACTTGTCTCCACGAATGACCAATGGGAAAAAATTACTGCTGGCTCTGGTTTGTTCTGAGAAGAGATTCTTAGAGAAGATGGCTCATTTTGATCAAGGTTTGTTATAACAAATTTGAATATCACAAGTAAGCAGAAATTAAGCATGTCTGACACTATTTTTGCAACCCACCCTTCTGGATTCCCATTAATCATTCTCAGAAACGGTTTTTCTTCCTTGCCTAACTTTTGCCCCTCTTGCTCAACTATTTCATTTCTCAGTCTCCCTAAGTTCCTGTGTTGGTGTATTTGAAGGGCGGGTTTTGAATAGGTACAACTGTGCTCAAGGATTGCAACATGTAATGCTCAACTCTGAAGCGTCAGCTTATTTGAAGAAGTGGAGCAACCCATGCAGAACAAGAAGAGTGACAAAATTAGAGATATGAAGAGAAGAGAAACTCAGTATAATTACTATCTTTGTAATATGCTCCTTAAGGCCTGACTGCCATTCACCATCAGTACTGCATGAGGTAAGCTGAAGACTAATCGTTACATTACTCATTTTTGTACTAGAGTACTTTAAAAAATATATCTGAAAGTATTAAAGGCTGCATTTTGGGGCTACTGACCCTCCTCATGGAGAAACTTGGAGCTCACATGACAGAGATAAGAAAAAAATAGCTACGATTTTCATTTTTATCTACCTGTTCATTTGCAGTCTTACAGGGATTCTCACCAGCAGCTTGCAGTTGTGGACTAAGGAGAATGAAAAGGATGAACTGCAATCCAGCGCTAGCAGTATGAACAAAGGATAGTGTTTTCAATAACATGAGTTTATAAGAAGACAGAAAGAAAAACAAAGGGAAAACAAAAAGAGAGAGAGAAAAAAAGGACAGACTGGCATGAAATACAACCAGAAGTAAATGCAGAGGGTCTTGTTCATAAGATGACAGCCTGTGTTATAAGCATTTCTGATATAAAACTTGCTATGAGGCATCTGCCAATGAAAACAACAAACTAGATATCAGTAGCATCTGGAGACCAAATTCTGTACCTAAAGAGAAGTCAGCAGAACTCTCCCAAGACAAGTTAATAGAGCACCTTCCAAAAAAGGAATACAGTGCCCACTGTAAATGTCAAGTGCCTTCAAGCTCTTCACAGTGTCCTTCTCTGAAGTTATAGTGCAATGAGAACCAAGAACATCGTGGAAGAATTTTTATCCACAGATACATAAACAGTGATCAACTAGTTAGCAGACACATTCACCTGCAGAACTACTCAGGATAGAACATTGACAAAGATGCAAATAAAACCTCAGATTTCAAGAAATCAGTTCTCTAAAGTCAAGCCTAATCACTGATACAGCTTTCATAGTAAACCAACTTTACTCCAATAAAATCCCTGAGCAGATGAGAGAAGATTAATAAATACTGAGAAGAACAGAAGTAATCTACAAGAACAAAGCAAAATTTGCAGCTACTGGAGAGATACACAGAAAAAAGCTAGGCAAATTCACAAATCAGGGTGAAACCTTCACAGATAATCTAGATTTTGGAACACACAACTCTTTGAACACATGTAATGGACTCACTACAGCCCAGGTTATACACACCAAAAAAGTGTCTAACATGACTACAGAAGGTTACAGAAGCCATAGTTAAGAAAGAACATACAGCCCAAGTTTGCACCTGCATTATATAGGAAATAATGCCAGCTTTTCCCTGCTTATGAAACATACTGACATTATCATAAGACAACTCTGACACCACAAATGGGAACTCTGTTGCAAGCATCAGGCCCTCAATCAGATTGTTTATTTAGACTACATGACCACAGTGATGAATCGTTGTACCTCATCCCACTGCCTAATCTATCAAAAGGTTTTGCCACAAGAACACAACAAAACCAAACCTGTCTTACTCCTTTCTGCTATTTTTCAACTGCTTTGGTGGGTGCCTCCAAGTTAGGAGTATAATTTCTGCATGCTTGGACAGATTAAGGCCAATGTTTTAAATAAACCTTTGTATTTAGGAACACCTGAGTTCCCTGAATGAGATAATATGAATACCAAAGACATATACACAACAATGGATTAGAAACTCTTGCACTACAGCAGGGAAGCAATGCTTCACATTAGTCTTGAAAAGAAAACTATGACCTCTTCAAACCTTCCTGCCAGACTTCTAAGAATGTAGTCAACAGTCCATCCCTGACAGTTTTGACTGTAACCGCAGTGGGAACATCCATCCCTTCAGACACAAATGTGAAACTTCAGGTGCCTTTCAGCAAGATTTTCTCAGGAAGAGAGGATTCCAAGAGCCTGCAATGCTAAAGACAAAGCAGAGGTTCAGACTGCAGCCTGGCAATAGTTTTGGGACTGAAGATGAATATGATTTCTTCCAACATTTCTTCAGCTTCTCCCTGAAAGTAACTCCTTCCAAGTCTCCCAACAGCCAAAAGATCAGTTGTCAACAACACCTGCAAAACTGAATTCAATAGAGATTTGGGAAGGTCTAAAATGTTGCAAGAAAGAAGGGTTCCTTACAAGATTTAATACACAACTATCACAGCTTTTCCTTTCAAACTAGAAGCTGAGACTGAAGAACAGCTAATGGACTTATATAAGGCACATTCCTTTATCCCATAAACAGACTCCTATTTCTGAGACCTCGTTCCCTGTATAAGAAATGCAATGAACAATTTAAAGTTAGAGAGACTGAGCAGACTCATGCAGAAATTGCATCTTTTTCCACTCCTAAACATATTTATTAAGTGCCACCCTGAGTTTTAAAGCAGGAGCATGAGTTTTAACTTTGTTCCTAGGACAAGCAGAACTCATACCTTTGAATTCCGGCCAAATGCAGCAAGAATCAACTCAACACCCAGTAACAACAGAACCTTTGCATCCCTAGACAAAGCTATGGAATATAGTGCTTCAAAGATCTTCAGAAATCAGTACACAGCATTATATTTCTCATTTTCTCTTTATACCCTGATTGAGCTATACTTTCCCTGATCACAAGCATGCAGGGATACATTTCTCCCTAGGCAAGGGTGGGTAAGACAGAACACTGCTTTCCTGAACACAAACATCCCTTTCTTTTCTCTCTTCTCCTCAGCTCTCAAACATAGTGGAAAAAAAGGTTTTCTAAATGATTTTCATTCTCCCCTTTCACCACTTAAGACCAAACAGATTTGGGAAGCCTGCAGACTACATGTTCATTTGCGTACTCACATGAGATGCTCAAAGACCAAAATCTGCATTTGCCTTTACTCCTTTTCCACAGCTTTATGCAACCACAGCCCAGAGTTCTCACATAGTAAGAATTAAGTGAAGCAGCTCTAGAGTCTACACTGGTCCAGAAAATAAGAGCTGCTCAGCTCAGGTTTTTTGTTTTTTTTTTAATTTGTTTTGCCCACAGAGTGATCCAGAGATCAGAAAAAGGGAACCAGAAATACTGTTTTAAATGAACTACCATATTTCCCCCCCACGCAGACAAAATTTAGACACTGCACAGAACAGGGTTTGCATTTTTGTAAACAGCAGACAGTGTCATAGTGTTTAAAACCAATAATTAAGAATTCATATTGCAAAAAGGTCAAGAAAGGCTATTGGGACATATTTCTTCTCCTTGTCAACTTATTTGTCAGGTACAATTCTACATCTACCAAATAGTATTTAAATGGGCATCAAGCAGCAGGAAACCCACTAAGTGTCATGCAGCTTGAAGGCAGAAGAAATACACTGTGCAGGACTGTGTGGGGACTGGTGTGCAGTACAGAAACCAGCGTGTCCCATGCTAGTTGTAAACCTGTAAAAAGATATTTCAGATAGTTCTTTAACATTGGATGGATAGTTACAGTTTTGCAATATGACTGGTCAAACAGATACTGAGAAGACAGAGGAGCACAAGGGAAAGAAAAAAGGACACAACAAAACACATGTCTGTCTTTGTTTATTCCACTGAACTTTATCCCCCACCAAGGAAAGGAAAAAAAAAAAAAACCAACATTTTTGGAAAAGACACTTGCATAAACAACTCTGTTTCACAGAAAAAGCTTGAACAGACCAAACGTTTCTTTGGGCTTCTCTAAGGCTCAGCTTTAGTGCTGTTAATACTGAGTCTTTGGGCTTACTAAATGAGCACAGAAAATGATATAACTTCAGGTGTAAAAAACAGGAATAGTAATTCTAATTTCTGCTCTACATACTTAGAATCTCTTAATTTTTGTATATATACTAAAGTTAACCTACAGTTAAAGCATCATGAATATTTCACTAATGGAGGTTTTTTACTGCAAATGCTTTTGCCAAAAAGAAAATATCTCTACACTGTAACAGTTATAATGAAACTTTGAAAGAGTGGTATAAAAGTGTTTGTCTTTGAGAATTTTTTGATGAATAAAAGAATTCTGACATTTCTGACCCATTAAAAGAAGAGAATATTAAATCCCTGTAACTATTCTTTTCCTGAAAGACTTGCATTTGAACATATGTTAACTATATTCAGTAAAAGATTACTTTGCAGAACAGCAAAATAATGCAAAGGAGGGAAAAGAAAAGGAGGAGGAGGGAAAAGAAGAACCTAGCTGTACCTCATTTCCTGTAGTCTTTGACCTCTTTGCAGGAATCTCTTTATCCTATAAGGTAAGGGTGAATAAAGAACATTAGAGAGCAATTGTATTCACATTAATACAGATATTTCTAGTTTTAAATGCAAATGAAACACTCTTTTTCATGTAAGAAGGCACAAACAGTAACTTTTAAAAATAAGTTGCTGGTCCTATTTGATTGTGAAGTTATAATCTTCCCAATGTTAACAGAGCAAGAGAAAAATATACATGCACATATTCACTTCCTCTCTGCTACGCAGAGATTTTAAGCAGCAGTTTAGGTATCAGCTGTTTAAAACACATCACTCATCCTTCTGCTCACCTGAAAAGAATAAAAAACAAAACAAAAACAATATGGAAAAGAGGCTTGAAGTTATCCACCACAAAATTAAGTTAGATTAGAAGAGGCAAAGAACGTAACACGCAAGTCCTAACCTCCTCATTTTGAAAAGAGGGTAAAAATAGCACAGACCTTCACAATAACTCTTTTCTGGTGCTCACGTCCCACTGGAAACTCTTTCCTTGCTCACAGCCAAAATTAAAGGCTCTCTGCATTAATCAGTCATCACTGTACTATAATTTAATCCACAGAAAACTCACAGACCATAATCCTTCTCGTCAAACCTTAAACTCTTGAAGCAGACCCAGCAAGGCCTCCAAAAAAACATGTGGGTGAAAATGCCCCCTTGATTTTATATTAATAAGTCCACAGAGCATCTTAGTAATGACAGTTTAAATAATTCAGGAGATTGGTTCACTACTCAGATAGAGATTTCTGAACACACTACAGCTGTTGACTTATCTCACCAGTCACGTCATCCATAGAGTTCCCGCAACAAATCAAGAGAACGGCCAAAACACTCCCAACCTGTTTGTGTAACAAGTGTACCATAATAAGCAAACCTAAGTCTAAACCAAAGACTGTCAGTTCCCACCAGTGACATATAAAACAGGCGTTTCATTATTGCTATAATGAAACTCCAGGGAACGTGGCTAACAAGACGTGAAAGTGCTCAGCTGCACCTCACGCCTCGTAATTCTCTAAAGGTGCGATTACCACTTCTCTCTCGGGCATTATTGTTGGCTTCCAATTATAATCCTCCTTTTGGGAATTAAAAAAAATACACCAGAAGTCACGTAAGTAGTGCTGCACATGTCCCACAGCAAGGAATTGCACGTTTAACTGCAGACATAGAAAAAATCCATTTTTTTAAATAACAATAGAAAGTGAGCTCAAAAACCCATGAACACAAACTTTAAACACAGAGAATTACTACATGATACTGAGAGGGCTCTCAGTACCCTCAGTCATCTGGAGATTTAAAAGGACAAGTGGTTTATTTACACAGTTACAATGCTTCAATACAAATTACTGAACTTCACTGAGAAAATGAGGTGGAGTTATCTTGCTTACATTATTATTCAGACTGGATTAAAATGCCTCTTCTGGCGCTACAGACTTGCCTCTTAATTGTTTAAAAAAATCCCATTTAAAAGTGCATTTCTATCTAAAGAGTACTCAAAGCAAAAATATATACCTCTTTGGATCCAGCAAAGAGTGGAATATCATGAAATGGGGAAATGTATTTACCATCTGCGTTCTCTGAAAAATAAAAGAGTGAAGTAACATTACAAATCTAGATATACATGCTGTAAGATGTCTGCACTGATAACGGCTATTATGCAGTATAGAAATCTATGATATGACAACATATGCATCAATTAAACCTCTTCCTGAAGTTTAATTCCAAAGACTGAAAAATAAGCTACGTGCAGGACAACGTACTTGATTCTTTGACAGTGACTTACTGGAATCAGAATTACTGCTTTAGTATTCAATACCACACTTCTCTTTTCTAACTAGCTGGCAATACAAGCTATGGAAAGATGAGAAGATCCCTTCCTTGTCTTTTCCTTTCCTCCCTGCCAATACACAACCATTAACAGAGAAAAAAAAAAAAAAAAAAAAAAAGTGTGGAATACCAAGGGAACCTCAGTTCCATGCATGATCAGTGAATCTCCATGGTCTTCTAGTAGTACAGCCCTAATGACTTTATTGTATTTCTAGTGAGCTAAATTTCACAAGTACGAAGAGAAAACTCTTCAACATGCTGAAATCTGATGAAGAGAACATACAAGAGATGGTATAATAGCTCAGGCCCTACATATGAAACATGATAACCTCAAATCCTGCAAAAGTTGACATTACCTTAATGGAGGCCTAGTCTGCACCTCAGCCTTGCTTCCACTGTAGAAAGGAACAAAATTTACCAGAGTAAACGCTGAAGCATTTCAAATCACTTGGAAACTCTTCAATATACCAAAGCCCAAACATAAACAGAAACATATAATAATATGTTTATATATAATACAAGGCATTAACACTGATTTCAAGGAGTTCCTCCTTTGTTAGCACTCCTTTTTATGGTAAATGGAAACAGAGAACTCTATTTAGTTTTGGACCACCTCAACGAAGAGGAATACATGCTAGCTGTTTTTCATAGAATGGCTTAGATTGGAAAGGACCTTAAAGGGACCCTGTTGTGAGCAGGGCTGCCACCCACTAGAGACTGCCCATGAGCCAATCCAACCTGGCCTCAAACTCCCCCAGGGATGGGGCACCCACAGCTCTGGGCAGCCTGTTGCAGTGCCTCACCACTCTGACTAAAGAATTTCTTCCTAACGTCTAACTCAAATTTCCCCTCTTTTAGTTTAAAGCCATCCCCCCTTGTACTACCAGGCTGTGTAAAAAGTCACTCCCCCTCCTGTTAGAGGAGGATTAAGGCTGCAATGAAGTCTCCCTGGAGCCTTCTCCTCTCCAAGCTAAACACCCCAAACTTTCTAGGCCTATCATCCTTGTGGCCCTCCTCTGGACCTGCTCCAACAGTTCCACATAATTCCTGAACTGGGGGATCCCAGGCCCAGACACAATACCCCAGATAGACCTTACAAAGTCAGAGCAGAGAGACAATCACCTCTCGCCCTGCTGGCAACTCTTGGAAGCCTCCCAGACCATCCTCCTAATTAAAGCAAAGTTTAGCAGTGGGCTGCTTGCTTCCACTCACTGACGTGCCCTGCAGCTCCCTGGGGACTGGGCACAAGGAGCCCTGGCAGAGTGCTGCTCACAGGGCACATGATGACTGCAGACGTCAGAGGTAACTCCCGAGAAGGTGACGAACCAAAGACGTCCACAACAGCAAAGCGCTGTGCGGCCAGCGTAGTTAGTGACACGTGTAACGCCGAAGCTCCCGCTGCACACTGGGAGGCCTCCTGGAGCCCTGCCCGCGCTCTCCCAGTGCCACCTCGCTGCTGCTCAGGCTGCAGCCCTGCTGTCTGGACGCCAGTCTCTCCTCAGCGTGACGTCTCCAGGAGGGCCGGCCTGGCCACAGGGCACAGGCAGCACTCCCACAGAGCTGACGCGGTGCTGAGGCGAGGCTCCCTCTGCCAAGCCCACCCTTAGGCTCCCAAGTGCCCCACATGCCCCCAGCCCCCCCACACCCTTCAGGGAGCTCTGCAGGGCCCGTGCGGCGCACACAGCGGCCCGAGGCCTGTGCAGGTCCGACATTTCCTCGGAAAGGCAGATCTGCCGGGAAACCCCCTCACTTTCCACGCAAATCGCCCCCTCGGCTAGGCGGGAAGCTCAGGGCCGACCCCTCCAGCAACGCGAGAGGCCTCAGCGGGAGCGGCAGGCCACCGCCGCCTCTCCCCGCCGTGCCCCTTCCCGAGGCGGAGAAGGAAGGAAGGGGGGGGAGGTCACCGGGCCCCGGGTGCTGCTACTTACTAAAGTAGAGGCGGTAATCGGGAGAGTTGGGCCGCCCCCGCTGCTCCGTGCCGTAGCGGGCCATGGCGCCGAGGCAGCGGCGCGGCGGCCACCCCCACCCCCGCGCCGCCAGCAGCCGCCCCAACCCCGGCAGCGCACGCATGATGGCTGCGACCGCCTCCCTCCCCTTCCTGCGGCCGCCGGGCCTGCGCCGCGCCGCGCCGCGCCGGCCTCCTGCCCCCTGCCCCCTGCCCCGGCTGTCCTCAGCGGTCCCCGCCGGCAGGCCCGGCCCGGCCCGGCCCGGCAGACAGGGTGCTGCTGCGACAGGACCCGCTCTCCTCCTGCCGCACCGACGCGGACGGACAGCAGCACGCCGTACCGCCGCGCTGCCGCCTGAGGGGAGGCGCGGCTCTCAGCCCCGAGAGGCCCAAGATGGCGGTTTGCCCCCAGGCAGCGGCTGTCGCAGGACCCAAACTCTGGCTGCGGGGTCCATGGGATGGCTGCTTGCCCCCAGCCTCGGGAGAAGGGAACAGAAGGGAGGAAATAGGGGCATGGAAGGAGTGGTGCCGTGGAAGGTTTGTCAGCCCCGGTGGGGGTGTGATGATTGCCATCCTGCCCGCTCCCTGGCAATAAAGCGTTCCCTTCTCAACACACGGCTCCCACACCTGCGCCAGCATAGCTGGGCTACTGGCACTGATTCCCACAGATAGATAATGCTTGTTATTATTGAACTTTGCTGACGCATAAATTAGGTTATCGTCTGTATTCTCTTTGTAGTGGTTTTGTATTCCCCTATGGACAATGTTTCCTGCAGCATTGGTGGCTTTGAATTCTGGTCTCATAGAATCACAGAATGGCCAGGGTTGGAAGGGACCTCAAGGATCACGAATCTCCAACCCTCCTGCCACATGCA